AACTACGTTACTCTTCTCAAATAGCAGTCCATCAATCTGTCTCTTATACACATCTAGATGTGTATAAGAGACAGGTATGGAAACTTTCGAACAGTTTCAAAAAAGCAGTCTGCCTGGCTCTGCCATTCTTAAAGAAAGGACAGCAATACAGAGGATGCTTTTAGACTACGGAGTTGGATTTCAAGAAGCTAAGCTGAGTAATGCTCTCAGTTGCGTTCCAGGTTGAATTATTGATCATTCCTATGCAAGGGACCCTCGAATCGTTGTCCAGCACGTGAAGCTCCGCACAAATACAATGGAGCCATCGAAGCTTGCCAGCCTCTATCATAAGGGGCTCTTACCACCCTGATGGCAGATAATATGGCCCCGAATGATTAGAAAGAAAAAGAAAAACGGCTGGTGGGCCCAAAGCAATCTACTGAAATTGGAATCGGGGAAAAAAGAAAAAGAAAACATTGGCCGTCATAGCGGTCATATACATTCTGGAAAGTACTACCTGTGTTAGTATGCCCTCAGTGAGGGCCTTTTCTGAGAATATGGAATATGCCCTGCCTCGCTGGCGGGGCACTAAGAAAGAAAAAAAAGAAGAAGAAGAAAAGAATAACAACGAAGATTTGGCCGTAATGGTGGTCTGATACATTCTGGAAAGATCTATCATCTCCCCCCCAGCATAGGTTGCTTTGTATTTGAATACAACACACGTGTTCTATTCGAACAGCTGAAATATTTGAATACAACGCATATGCTTTCTATTTTTCTTCAAAACTCGAATACAATTCATATGACTTATGTTTGGTGGAAGACGATAGTGTGAGTATGCACTCCATGAGGGCCTTCCCCGACATCATTGATCTTTTTTTTTTTGTTCCAGCCAAACTACAGTATTGCGAGGAATCAGCTCCTCGACAAGCCCGATGGGGACCTGTTACGAGATGTGGCCCGCCCTAAGTGAAGGCGGGCCTGATAATTCCAAGACGCCTATGTTGTCAATTTTGCATTTGGGGTTCAGACAGTTGGATCGCGTCAGCTGGTTGAGGGAAAACCCAGCCCCAGGCCGCAACATCCTGCAACGGCCTCCGGGCCACTTCTGGAAGAACGTGGAAGCAGGCCCTGGGCCACACACACAGCAGAAGGCACGACTAGCAGTTGGGCAGTAACTGTACGGGGCACAGGGCACAGGGCCTACCGAAAGCTTCTGGGCACAGGCCCATCCACCAGGCCAGACACTTTCCATATAAGAAAGTGCCCGCTGCCTGGCCAAGCGTTCGGGCACTTGCCAGTTGTGCGGCAGCGCTGCTTGAGTCTGCGCTCACGTGCTGTAGGCTCCGCTAAGGCAAGGTGCTTGTGCACGTGCGGTCCTGTGTGCAGGGCGCTGCTGACGGCAGCGCCATAGCTCAGCCTCCATAGCCGGCCAAGCCTGGGTGTACAGCGAGGTGTAGTGGTGATCTTCGTGCATGAGGGAGAAGACGTGGGTGAGAGACAAGGGAGAGAAAGAGAGATGAGGATGATGGTGTGAGGGCACATAGCTGGTCTCAAGACGTGGGTGCATATTACTCATGTACATATCTTTGAAACGGTATTCAGCTGTTAGCAGTAGCGGATGCAGGTCCCAGGGCTCGATCCCTAGTCCTCACTTTACCTGTGTACACTATCTGTGTCGACCCCGAGTGTTTGAACCCGTGATCTGTGTTTTGAGAGTTGTTGTTGTCTGTCGTAGGTCTGTGTAATGGTAGGGGTTCGATCTGTAGATCTGTCAAGTAGGAGTCACAGCCCTGTAGAGGTCGTAGCTGTAGGAATCCTGAAAGGTCAAGGTCGTAGCTGCTACAGTCCTGAAAGGTCAAGGTCATAGCTGCTACAGTACTCGAAAGGCCAAGTCCACAGACTTCCGGAAGGTCCGGAAGTGGCCTTTCG